AGAGGTTTGATTCCTTTGTACTCACTATAGGATTTCAAAGAAGTAAATTCGATCACTGCCTATATTTTCAACACAACGAGACTAATAACAATTATTTGTTCTTGTTGCTCTATGTGGACGACATGCTTTTAGTTGATCATCTCCTAAGTGGATAAACAATATAAAAGCAGATCTTAGTGGAGAATTTGACATGAAAGACCTAGGAAAGGCTAAAAGGATTCTAGGCATGGAAATAGAATGAAATAGGTCAAATTCCATCGTATTCTTGCATCAGTCTCCATACATATCAAAAGTGTTGAAAAAGTTTAATATGAGTGATTGCAAACCTGTCACGTTGCCTCTTGCAAACCATTTTGTTCTATCAAAAGAACAAGCTCCCTGCAATGAACGTGAAGTGGAATATATGAGTAAAATTCCATACTCAAATGTGATTAGTTCCATAATGTATTTGATGGTTTGCACTAGACCGGACTTAGGATTCGCTATTAGTACTCTCAGTAGGTACATGTCTAATCCAGGTCCTGAACATTGGGAAGCATTAAAGTGGCTTTTAAGAAATTTGAAGGGTACAAGTGACGTAGGTCTAAAATTTAGTGCTAATAAAGAAGGCGTGAAATTAAAGGGCTTTGTAGATGCTGACTATGCAGGAGATAGGGATGGTAGGAAATCAACTTCCTCTTATGTATTCACCTTATCAAATTCATGTGTTAGTTGGAAATCACAGTTACAACACATAGTTGCACTATCCACTACAGAGTCAAAATATATTGCCACCACTGAAGCAATTAAAGAGGCTCTATGGCTTAGAGGTCTACTTCATGAACTGAGTGTCTTGAATGAGTATGTGGTTGTGTATTCTGATAGTCAGTCATCCATATATCGATGTTAGGTTACACTTCATTAGGGATATAATATCACAAGAAGTAGTGAGACTTGAAAAAATTCACACACAGTATAACCCTTCAGATATGGGCACGAAAGTGCTGCCACTGGTAAAGTTTAGAAGTTGGAAAGAGCTTCTAAATATCGGTACAGGTAAATGATTTCAATTTTATCGGTTTTTCTGTTAGAGGTGTCACTAATGGAAAAACGTTTTTCTTTGCAGGTCCTTTGACACCAAGGTGGAGGTTGTTAGACATTATGTTGTCAAACAACCTCCCGGGCGATGATGAGAACCAATTTTATCAGTCGACATGAATGACTGAACGATAATTCAACATCGAATAATGGATGAACCGACCAAACGTTGCTTTACCTATTGGACGGCTAATACTCTTTGTGGCTTGTTGATTCTTTCCATTGGAAGTTAACCCTAGTCGAGCCTACTTACCATATCCTTACTTACCTTATGTTGGCCACTTGACTTACTATATATATTGGTGTTTTTCTCCCTAGTTGAACCCATCCATTGAACCCGTGAGCTCCAAGAGAGACTACCATGTTCTTCTGCCTTCTTCTTCTTCGTGATTTCTTCTCCATGCCAATTGCTTGAGCCTTTGTGACTCTTACCTGTGTGGTATCCATCCTAAGTGTGTGGATTGAATCAACAAAGCAAGAGAGGAAAGCAACCATAGGAAAGGAGGCGCCGGCAGGTTGGTGACTTCGGTTTTGGTGTTGAATTCGATGTTTAATGGTTAACTGAGCCCGAAAATCACTTTGAGCAACTTAAGGAAGATCCTAACATAGGTATTGGGTACTCATCCCTTGCAACGAATACAAATTGGTTGAGTGGTATTTGCAGCAAAACAATGGAATCATGAGTATGGGGTGCAAAATCTTCAGTCTATCTGATCGTCTCAGATTCAAATCAGATTCATGGAGATTAACTGAAACGCGTTCTTTTAAATACCTTGACCTACTACATCTTGTGTCGGTTAATGGAGTCATTTATTGGCTTACGAGAAACTATCGGGATTTTTATCAAACGGATTCCATCCTTGCCTTGGATTTGGATGAGGAAGAATAAAAAATCACTTCATGCCCAAAGCGCAGTCCTTCTACCAAGGCCTACTTGCTAGAGTTAAATGAGTGTTTATATTTGGCACACTGTTGGACGAAAAAAGCAATTGTGAAAATGTGGACACTCGAGGACCCAAATAATTTTGTTTGGATTTCAGAATATTACATGAATTTTCCATCCATATGCAACTCCATTGTGCCAGTAACAAGTGTATTGGTGGTTCATGTTGAAATGCTTATTTTTTTTATCGTTAGAAGGCCAAGATCTCCTCTACTATAATGTAGAATCCAGTACAATGAGAACACCCGACAAGTTGTGGAACTTAAAACAATATTGGTTACAACCCCCTTGTGTTTTAAAATACATGGAACTCTAAACCGTTTCCTGCATATGTGTCTGATATCAAGGATTTTTATTGTTCATTCTATTCTCATGACATATATTATTTTGTTCCATTCATTAAAATTAGATGTTTCTATGTTTTTCTTTGAGTTCTACTCAAAGAAACATTTAATTATATTGGACAATATGTTTTAAAGCTCCACAAGTTAATAGACAATTTGGTGGGATGATTTCAGTGCACATCACATTTTTTATCTCCACATATGCCAACACATCCATATTTAGTCAAATATGGACCTGGTCAGAAACTCCAATTTTCCTATGATCATATATTTACATTATCAGTGAAGCAAAGCACAGAACAATCATTTAAAAATCATTATTTTCAGTCGCTGGCATCAACTACCATATTACAGTAATGGAAAATTTGCAGTGGACTAATTGTATATCATGCCTAATACATACTATAGCTTCAAGTTACTATCTATTATTTAAGATTGTGACCTAAAACATGTACATTTGGAACTTGTGACTTGATTTCAAAGGAGAAAGCTTTATTTAGGGCAAGAGAAGAAATATATTGAATCTGATGCAAAATATCCATCAATTAACAAATAATTTTTCAAAGAAAGTTATGACATAAACCTCCATTTCCTCCTGGCAGTGCAAGGTTATTCTGCTACTCCAATAAATGAGTGTCACCTGCAAAATGAGGTTAGGACTTTCTCCCCCATTGTACCTCTAGTATGAGAATTAGTGGATGATTTAGGAACATAGGAAGAAAAAGTAGAATGAGTATTCAAATAGCCAATTTTTCATGATCCATACTTGTCTTGCCTAGGAGTATTTACAGGGTCTGAAGTCATGTAATTACTGGGCAATTATCATGCCATGTGTCGCACGTAGCACATCCCACTAGCCCTAAGTTCTAAGTGGGAGCCTTCACCTACCAAGCTATTATTAGTTGTGTTCATGTTAACAGTGGAACAATTTTCATCCAACTCAAAGATGTTTTTATGGTTAAGTATTGTGTTGGTCTCGTAGCGGTATACGGCCTGGTATGAATGTAGAGTTTCTCGTAGTGGTTGACAACTCAGTGTGGAAGTATCAGGCCACATAGTAGGCGGCCAAGCATAAGTGTAGAAGGTCTCATAGTAGTTGACAGCCCAGTGTGGACATAGAGGGGAGTGCTTGGCGGCCTAGCATGGGGCGCTCTCCATGGAGTGCTTATTGAGTAGTCTGCACCTTGTTAGTCATTATAGATAATTATTGATGCCATCTAATATTATTTTCTATCAAGATGTTTTGCGATATTTAAATTCTATAATGACGATAATTAGATTTCAAATTCCGGATTAGTTTTATAATGTACATACTTGCTATATATATAATGCTTTATATAGTTGTATATTTATTAAAATATATTTAACACCTGATTTTTAAAGACCTCATTAATGATAATAACATCTTAAAAAATCATGGGTTTTTCTAATTTTCTATTATAACAAAATTGGGATAAAGATTGATGGTATATTTGCTATGGACATTGATTGTTTGCTTAGGTGAGATTATTTGAAGTGAAAAATGACTTTTTTAGGAGAATATATGGTTAAAAGCAGTGAAAAAGGTCATAATTTCAAATGTAAATTTATTTTGATGCCAGTACATGTGGTTACAAATGATTTTCAAATAAGTTGTTGAGACAATCAAGTAAAGAATAAGTGTATAATTTTTTCACAAAATTCAAACCATTCCTATAATAAAGCAATTTCTTTTCTTTTTTTAAAATATCATCGGGACATTGGTGCCGTGGCAATCGTCCATCCCTGCCTCTAGTGACTCCACCTGGTTTGTCTATGACAATTCTAAATTTTTTAGCTAATGTTGTTAAATAGCACAGACATCGATATGAATATATTGATACTAGTCGAATACAATATTTCCAACTTAATTTTCCATTTAACATGAGCACTAATTGTGATAGAGAAACTGATCAATTGGATTTGTCATGTTTGAGAGCTACAGAAAGGTTTTGTGAAGCCACTGGCAAGCTGATTCCATATAGAAATTGACGCCAGATATTGACATCCTTGTGGCTTCCTGTGGGTCAAAAATTAAGTACGTTCGAACGGCGCTCCAAGAGCGATAGGTTTCAGTTATTGGTGCTCGAACATCTTCTTCTAGCCTTGTCTGATGTCCCAAGTTTCAATCATGTCAAAGCATACTTGAGTTTTCGAAACATTAAAAATGAATAAATACACAAAAATATAAGCCGTAGGGGTGGGCGTGGGGGGTCGGTCCGGGTATTTCAATACCCAGAACCACCCATTATATTTTGGGTATTTTATAGATGGATCCATTTTGATTCCATGTAATTATTGGACCCAGGGGCGGACCCCCATTAGGTCCAGTGCGGGCAGATGCCCGCACTGAACTTTTGGGCTCCACTAGGCCCAAAATTATATTTTTTTTTTAAAGCCTGATTAAACATCCAACCCAGAAGGAAGCCCAATTGCCCACAGCCCATGACCCGTTTACCGACCCAGACCCATCATTCAATTAACCCGTTTCATTGAAATCAAAATCAAACCAAACCCTTGAATCGATCTCTCTCCGTCTCTCGATTGTCACTTGCTTCTCTCGAAGGCCGAGCTCCGCCCCTAGTCTCACCAGCTACTTCTACTTCCAGTCCACCGGTGGTCGGCATCTCCTAGATTAGGGGCTTTAATCTCTGACCATGTAAGTGTATCAAATATCCCTAAAGTCGAAACCCCAATCCTCCCCCACCCAAGTCCGCAGGCAGCAACTGAACTGCCATCTGCCATCGCCTCCCGCCAGGCACCACCGCACCAGCTTCCACCTCTAAAGAAGGTAATTAGATGTTCTTCCAATCTACATAGCCATCCCATGCGCTCAACTGATTTTCCACTTCCTACAACAAGGAAAAAAAGAAGAAGAAAGAAACCCCAAACAGGGTGCAATTTCCAATCCTATAGAATGTAGATAATAGCGAGATACAAAGACGAAAATCATGATATCAGACTAGCTGACTGGGTATTCAGATTTTAGTTGGAAAAGCATACCCTGTGATAATGGGTTAAGGGGTTCTCAAAATGCTTTTTCCTGTTTTTTGTTAGATTTTTATTATTGATTCAAGAAATGTTTTATACCTTTTCTGCTTTTTTTGTTAGATTTTTATTATTGATTCAAGAAATGTTTTTACTTATTTTCCTGATGATTATAAGTAGGTATGCAAATATGCAATTAGTGTGAATGAAGATAAACAAATTGATTCTTTCATTCTCAGTCACACGCATTGCAATAGGATCCTTTAAATTAATATTTGATTTATGACAAAGGAACCCATGGGGTAGAAGCACTTGTGAATTTATCATATTTCATTTTTTGCATATGTAGCTTCTATTTGTTGCACCCATGTGAAGGTTCTACAGTGCAGATTCTCACACAAGGAAAACTTGGTATGTGAATTGATATTGTGAAATTGGATTAATAGTGTGAAATTGTGAATTGTGAATTAGATTGTGAAATAGTATAAATTGCATTGTGAATTTGCGATTTGGAAGGTGAATTTGTGAAATTGGATTGATAGTGTGAAATTGTGAATTGTGAATTAGATTGTGAAATAGTGTAAATTGCATTGTGAAATAGTGTAAATTGCATTGTGAATTTGCGATTTGGAAGATGAATTGATATTATGAAATTGGATTGATAGTGTGAAATTGTGAATTGTGAATTAGATTGTGAAATAGTATAAATTGCATTGTGAATTTGCGATTTGGAAGGTGAATTGATATTGTGAAATTGGATTGATAGTGTGAAATTGTGAATTGTGAATTAGATTGTGAAATAGTATAAATTGCATTGTGAAATTGCGAATTGGAAGGTGAACTGATATTGTGAAATTGGATTGATAATTGTGAATTATTCTTACGCACTCCCAGTAATAATTGGATATCAAATATTTAAATTCAGATATCAAATGAATAGATACTTTCAACGAAAAAGGAGCGTAGATAATATTGATGAAGGGGTATCGAATGATGAGGAATTTGATGTCACAAAACTTCCAACTGATCCTGGTCTAAGGATACCCATTTTGAATTACAATGCTAACATCCGAGATGAAGTTTGAAGAGCATATATGTTAAAGGGTCCTTGTCAGCCCCAAGATCATGACTTTCCAAAACAACAGTTTGTTTTATTTTTTTATCATCATTAAATCTATGACCAAAACCTCGAAATTCGGTGTCAAAAAATGATGCCCGCACTGCACGTAAATCCTGGCTCCGCCCCTGATTGGACCCAATCGGTTCCGGTTTAGGTTCGGTTCTATCCATAACATTTTTTTGAATACATATTTAGTAAATTCAACCATGTAATTAGACGAATTATCACAAACTATCCATCATGTCATAGATTTAGTAACTGACATTAATGTACTAATAGTCCAAGACATAAACAAAGCATTAACAGATTAAAAGTTACACAAAAAATTAATAAGACTAGCCTTAAAAGAGCATTAAAAACTAGTTAGAACTTTAGAAGGAGTATAGAACTAGCATTAAACAGAGTCTTAAAACTTAAAAGAGCATTAATAAGACCATCTTATTGTGATGATAGTCAAAAGTTCAAAAAAATTTAAAACCAACATCAAAAGTTAAACAACTGAAAAATATCATCAAAAGAGCCATAAAATGTTAACCACAAACACCAGATGATGAATATTCTCGATAGATTTTGAGTCACCTACATTGATCCATGTGAGTTGTGTCGCACCAACCATTTAGACATCCATTGCTTGAGTTGTGGCATTAACAAAATCTACAAGACATAATTAAAATATAATAATAATTACAAGTTTAACAAAATTAAAATTTATTAGATTAACAAAATGCAATATAAGAATTGGAAAAAACAATGTTTACTTACCTGTCTCAATTTTCTCGTAAAACTCCGTCTCTTCAATGCAAATTCCATCTTGGGGTACTTTCAAAAGTCTAGATTCTTCACGTAACCAATTTTGTGTGCAAATTAACGCCTCAACTGTTTTAGGAGTTAAAGAACTCCTAAATGAATCAAGAATCCGTCCACTTGTGCTAAATGCTGACTCAGAAGCAACCGTAGAGACGGGAATGGCAAGCACATCCCTCGCTGTCTCAGATAAAGTACTAAATCTTTCACTATTAATCTTCCACCAATAGAAAATGTCAAATTTTGCATTTGCGAGGTCTTCAGTACTTTCTCCCAAATATTTTTGAATCTCGTCTTTTCTTGCTAAATCCACATTTCTAGTTTTCAATTTTTTGTACCCTATGTCAACTTTATTAAATGGACTCATATCATCTTCATCTCCATCTTCATCATCATCTGAACCATCAACTAAAGTTACTCCATTATTAGAATTACTACCACCAATTCCACCGTCAATACTGTGTCGTCCCTTGTATTCATTGTATAAAGCATATAATATTTTCATAACTTCACTCTTTTACACATCCACCTTGTTGTCATCATATAAGATACTTGCACAATATGCAACACACTTAAATTTGTACCTAGGATCAAGTACAATTGCTAAAAGTAAAAGCTTGCTCATTTTTGCAACTGTGCCCCAATACTTGTCAAACTTGACCTTCATATTGCACGCTATACTTCTTAGCAAATGATCATTTGTATTACTCAATGTTGTTAGTGCATGTTCAATGTTACAAACTTCTTTAAAGTAAAGACTAGAAGTAACATGTAGTGATGAACTAAACTTCAAAGTGACTTCATAAAAAATTCTCAAAAATTTGGCAAATTTTCTTGCCTTATCCCAATCATCACTAGTTGGTGGTCCTTTTCTTTCGTGTCCATTTTCACGCTCGTCAGAATATTTATAATAAAATCCATCCTCTTCCTCCATCCGGTCAAATGCTTTTTGAAAATTAAATGCACTATCTAACATTAAAAATGTTGAATTCCATCTAGTAGGTACATCTAGAACGGCAAGCTTTTTGCAACCAGTCTTCTCTTTTTCAACACAAGCTTTAAACTTCATATGCCTAGAAGGAGATGATCGAAAATATTTTATAGCATTTTGAATACTTGCTATGGAGTGGTTAAACTCCTTCAACCCGTCATTAACAATCAAATTAATAATATGCGCCGAACACCTAACATGCAAATGAGCAACACCCATAATCATGCGCTTTCCAATTCTTCAACTTGCTTTTCACTTAAATGATTGCCGTGTCATTTGAATTTGCATTGTTAATGGTAATAGTCGACACGTGCTCTATCCCCCAATCAAGCAAACTATTTTCAACAAGTTTTCCTATTGTCTCCCCTTTATAATTTGGAACAACGGAAAAACTCAAAATCCTCTTATGTAATTTCCAAGTTCTATCAATAAGTGTGCTGTCATTACCATGTAATTGATATTTTGAATTGATGTCCCACAATCAGTGGTAAGAGCAACCCTTTGCCTATTTTGAATAAGTTTATTCTTCAATGATTCCTTTGTCTCATTGTAAAGATAGAGCACATCCCTAGCAACTATTCTTCGAGAAGGAATATCAAATTTAGGATTGAGTTTTTGTACAAACTCTTTAAAACCCATACCCTCCACAAAGGAAAAAGGCAATTCATCAATTATAATCATCCTAACTAGATATCTTCTACACTCTTCTTTATTATACAACGATGCTGTAAGATTAAACATGTTACCATCACCATTACCGCCATCATTTCTCTGTCGAGTTAAGGTCTTTTGTTTGTCACCAATCTGAATAGCCTTGTATGCATGACAACTATCCAAATGCTTCCACATACTAGAAGTTCCACCTTTTGAATTACTTTGAAGGACTTTCCCACAATAATTGCATTTTGATGTTTCTCCATTACCTAGCTTAGTAAATCTCAACCAAATTGCTGACCTTGTCTTTGTTCTCTTTTTAGTTCCAGGTGTCTCATCATGCATCTACAAAAAATAAATTATTTTACCATAACCTGTAACAAATTTAATTTGAAGAGGAACAATAATAACAAAGGGACACCACAAATTTTTCTATTGAATAGAAAACAATAATAAAGGCACACCACAAGTAATCGTACTAGTTGCTGCATGATAGAGACTTGAAGATAAACTTAGATCAGTCATTAATTTTTATAATGACTAGAAATTATTTTTTATAATGAATAAAAATACTCCTTGAAGAGGAAGTGAGAACTCATAACATCAGACAGTTAACGACATCATATCCACATGCCTGCAACGTAATTACCCGATCAGATGTCAGTTAAAGTAGTAGTTTATTCCCATCATCGTACAAGAAACTTCTTTTACTAGCGAGTGTGCATCTTAAAGGTGGATATTGAATATAAACATATGATTGATATGAATGGAACCCAAGTGAGAGTAGAGGTTTTTCATAGTATTGGAACTTATTGAACATATTTGTACTTATATAGCAGGTATTCAGTATCACACTTTAAATGCTTTGATGCTGGACTTCATAATCTTAAATCTATTTTACTTGTTATTCATCTTACTTTTAACCTACTTATGGGTAAATTACGATGTAAGATAAGGTTATGGGTTCTCTAACATAGCTTGTGATTTTTAGTGCTAAGCTATCAAACTAATTGCAGGTGGACATTCTTGGTTAACTTTCTTCTTTGTTGTAGGTTGAGATCAAGAAGGCTGAACCAAAGAAACCCTCAAACCCAACACTTGCTTCTGCACCCAATAGTGATTCTAGGGGCCGTTCATTTGGCGATAGGTTTGGTGGATTCGGCAAAAACTGTTCAATACAGACTCTGACAAGTTTATTTTCATTACTTTTACTTTTCATTACATTTTTATTTCCATTACAAATTGGCAAAAATTACCTGTGGTGTTGGCGTTGGTGACGAAGCCATTGTTTGACACTTTGACGGAAGAGAACGCCGCAAACAGGAATTGGGAAAGGATTAATGAGGCAGCCGACAGGGGATAGGAATTTTTTATAGGTTTAGCAGTGGGCAAATTGTTTTGGGCAAGATTTATATATTTGGATTTAGTAATTAAAATGGGCCAAAAGAATTGAATTTAATATTTTTTTTAGGTTGAATTAAGAAGCCCATTTAGTTTAAGTTATAAATATTAAGTTATGTAATTTTTTTGTATGCAATCTATTAATTATTAAAAATAAAAAATTACAACGAAATCGATTCTATCCGGTTACCCATGGTTCCAATTCAAGAACCAAAAACCGACTCGGACCCAATCGGTTCTCGATTTTCAGTTTCGATTCCTATTTATTTATTTTTAGAACCGAACCGGAACCTCCGATTTCGGTTCAATTTCGATTTCGGTTAAAATGCCCACTCCTAATAAGTCGGCAAATAAACTAGAACAAGAAATTTCCCAAAAAAAAGGGTGAGA